ACCTAAGTGTGATGAATAGCAGACTGGGCGAACCCCATAGTCACTAGGACCTGCAGTTCAGTGGAGGAAACCGGCAACCTAAGCCCCAGGACTTAGAGTGGTGAACCACATAAGGCCCCGCCAGGTTAGATGTGGTATTGAACGGGCGGTGACGGGTCTCGGACCATAGGGTCCAAAGCACGCGGGTAACAGCGTCTAAACCACTGCGCCACCACCACCATAATGATGAAAAACCAAAGCAAATTGCTTTGTTTTGTATGTGGTTCAATATTCCAGATTTAACATATTTTAACATAGTTATTCACTTCGTAGATCTTTAACGTTCTATGCTCTCTTCCCCTGTCTGTTTTGTTGACCTTGTCGTCCCGTTCCATTGTTTCCCACTCTAGAAGCATTGAAGGTCGACGACATGGATGCGGTCGAACAGGATGAGGTAAGTTGAGCACGTTCACGCAGAACAAATGTTATTCGCTCTCGGTCTTTTCCACAGAATGACACTCACATTGGAGCACAGTTGTTCGAAGACGAAGACACACGCTTGTTCTATGAAAGTTTGCCTGATATTAAGGCCATGGTTCCTGGTGTAAGTTGCTCATATTTCCGTATTTTTCTTATCTCATGCAATTGCTTACACTTTCAACTGCGTTTATGACACAAAACAATAAGATTACTAGCCAAAAGGATTAACTGTTTCTACCCGTGTTAGCTGCATCAACTGCATGGTACAAGAAAAAAAAGTGTGCCCAGGTCCCGAATGTCCTAGCGAAGGCTGATGTGGCACTGCGAATCCAGTATATCAGGAGAGCCGTTCTGCAACTACGGTGGACTTCCAATTAAATCACCCTCGGCACTAAAGTTCACGTTTACCATACTCATTTACTGATGCAAAATTTAGTCTCCTAAGGGGTACAGGATACCGGAATTTTAAATTTATTCAACCGATTGCGCCTACAATAAATCCTCCAAGTTTCGTGGAAGAACCGAGGGGAATACTGCTAGCACATTAACGTGTTATCTGTTCTCTAAAGACGACGGTTGCACTGGTTCAGTTTTACTGCACAGCGGCTCCAAATAGAACTAATTAAATAAGGATTCAGTCCCGATCATTGACCGTTTTGTCTTTACTACCTTGGTGAACATCACAAAACATGGATTTTCGATATATTCAAAGACATAGGGATTCTAAGTCTTCGATCGGTCTGTGGGGTCCGGCAATGAAAAAAAACCTGCTCCAAAATGGGCTCAACTCACTTCTCCTGAATAACACTGATTTGTAATAGTCATGGAAACATTTTATCCTCTGACAGAAGACATAAGACTGATCGGTAAAGAAGCATATTTTCGGTGTTTCTTTAACCGGCTAAATATAACACCAATGTGTTGATCAGATTGGAAATGGGTTCGGGATTGGAGTGGATGACTATATTTCCAGGTAATACTAATCATTTGAAGCCAACCAATCAATATTCTGACCTGTGTGGGTGCTCTTGTTATGTGATCGGCTTAGCAACGGTTTGTCACGGCAAGCCGTTTTTGAGCAGATAAGCGGGGTTGATCGGTCTGATCGTAATCGCCTCTGCAAGGGATAGTAGATGACCTCTGAACTCCTTTTTTCGTGCCCCGTTGATGATGTGGTTAGGTCGGATTGGTTCAGGCAGATTAACCAAGTGATTTTTCTCGGCTATATGCGCAGCGACCGCGGTTGCTCCGTTACTAACTTATACGTTACCAAACCACTCGGGGTAGTGTTCTCGACAAATATCGGCCAACCGTCTATTGGTTAGACCTGTGTAGCGGGATAGACAGGACTTTCAGGGTTAGGAGAATTAAAAATCAGTGCATCACTGGAGAACAGACACTCAGTTTGTATGGGTAGGGGGTTGTACAAAAGGCTAGCGTGGAAAGCCGGAGGGAAAACAGCAAAAATACTAGCAAACGGACAGAATCCATGGTATTAACGGTAGGAGAGAGCAAGAGAGAGAATCGACTCTTCGATGAAGTTCTATGATCTGTTTATCGAGAGGGGAGACGTGATTATAAATAAAGCGAGTAGCTTTGCGTTGGTACTATGCGGTGACGTATGCAACGGTCCATCATCTAGCTGGTGCAGGACACCCTGACTAAATCATAAATCCTATCTCACCACGCTACAAAGCGACGTGGATTGGATTCAACTGTTTATCAATGTGGTCTTTCACAGTAGTGTTGTTCAAGTGGCTGTCATTTCTGTCCTCAGCAGAGAGTTCTGTAAAGATGTGTTCGAATATCACCATCCTCATTTATTTTCGCTGGTGCTTAACAGCTGTCGCTCACTGTAGTACTCCAGCTTTCTTTCTGAACTGCAAACTGCATACAATAAGTCGTCACGACTACAAAGCCCACAGCTATCGCTCTGTAGTCTGCGGTCACACGTGGTAAACAAAGCATTTACCTGTATTTGATATTCTAGTTAGAATAAATGCCTTGTTCGGGTGTGTACTTTGCTATGAGTCAAGTCTTTTGAAAGTTTGACAAGCCTGAGATGAGGCGTTTAGACTAGCAACACAAGATTAAGTTGCATTACGTGTACCAGTACCTCAATCCAAAACCTTTTAATGATGTACGGGTTTAAGGTGTCTGCACTTTTTCGCTCTGCTTGCGGCAGTGGTCTCATAAGAGTAAAACAACTACCCAAGGAGAATGGTACATATGAACTGGAAAATTGTCATATCCCTGGGAGCATCCTCCACCTCTTTCGTTATCATCACTCACTCAACTCTTAATTATGACTCTAAAATGTCAAGGTATGCATCAGCGGTCACCTTCCAGTAAACAGCTCAATAAGCGAGCCTAATCAGGTTGAAGGTTATCAAAGCGTGAAACCTCGGTGAGACTGTGCTTCGCGTGCGAATACAACTACTCCTGATTGGGCAGATGAGTTCTATTGGCTGATCCAATCACCACAAAGGAAATGTTTCAAAACAGTGGCATACTGTGCTTTACAGTCCGTATTTCGTTATGCCACGACTAGTGGTTTCCTTCGAGTGACACTGGGAGCATCTCTTGCATCAACCCCTCTCGAAGTCTCTTGATTATTCATGGAGTTGGTTCAAGAAGCCAGTCATAGTAAACAGGAGTGAAGTAACCATCACGACGAGACTGCACCTTGACGTGGTGTGATGGCTTGTGCACCTCTGTGACCCAACGAGCTACACAGGATGGCTTTTTGTTGAGCCAAAGATCTAATCATGACTGAAAGGTTAAAGGGTAGAGGTCATAAAAAGTTCCGTCTCCTGGTCCTCCAGGTTGGGGGTTCGACTAGAATTGGGGTTTCAGTCGGTAAAAAATGGTGGAGAAGTAATTGATCCAAGTAAATGGGCCTCCACTTCGCTTTATCCGCTGTCTTGCGGTTAGGTTCTTGTTAGAGCTAGGGGCTTTGGTTGAGAACACTAATCGTTCTCTTGCCTAGTGGCTGGACATCCTAGCAGTACCCGTCCACAAAACCCCAATGCATTACGAGTTTGGAAGCGATCAGTGAAGTTCGCTTCTCTGTATTTCGCTGTACGATGATGATGGTGAAGTGGAGAAAGATGTCCATAAGAACGCACTTGACAAAATACAATAAACTAGTACACAAGAACGCAGTGTTTGAATTGTACACTCAGATTATTCCTTTTTATTTCCTACTCTCAGTTCACTGCCACCTCGCGTTTTGCGACCATTTTGCTCCTGTGTAAATAAAATTCACCTCCGGGGTTCCAGCATGTGAATGACTGGATGAGACATTACTGTATACGCATACCTGATAATCGGCAATCACCTGGAAACCGGTCGTGTGCTTCCAGGGAAATTTGATCCACTCATTAGAATACTATTTTTTTTTAAGAATCAGATATGTACACAAATGACTTCTTTTTAATTTTTCGCCTATCTGCTGTTTGATGTATGCTTTATTGTGCACCATCTCGTTTCGCAGATACTTTATAAAGACAGTGAACAAGCTAAACCGGATACGAACCGCGAAAAGACGGAAGAGGAGAACAGTACAGTCGAAGGTAATCCACCAAGCCCGTCTATTCTTCCTGATCTAGGCGCACTCCATTTATCTCCCGTTCCAATTCCGGCAACATCATAGGGTTTAGGAATTCAATACAAAGACCGACATAATACTCACTAATGATCGTCCGATATAAGAAGTTTCAGCTTTCATACTGGTCAGTTGATCTGTGTACCTCAGCATTGCGGGGAAGGAATCCGGATCTCTCGGATCATTCTGGTAGGTTCCAGAGCAACCCCAATGTGTTCAATTTCTTCGTGGCACACACAAAATACCGAATGCATTGCTGAAAAAACCGGTCAGAAGTGTATGGCCAATGAAAGAACTGGTTCCGCATTGCATTGAGGAGGAACAGAGTAGGCTGTTTAAATTGCTCTTTGTGCTTATTACATGTGTCCTCAAACCGCTTCAGCTTGTTCAGCCGTGGATCGTGCTCTTCAATGCGCCGGTTTCGGCCACTGCCTTTTGTGAACTCACATTTGTATCGGTCTTTTTTCATCTTGTGTTTAAATGATTAATTTCTTAAATCTGTTTCACTTCCGTTCTATCGTTCTTCTCCCAAATTCCTTTCTGTTTTGTAGATATTGATGTGGAAACGGTCGAATCAGAACTGGCCAGAGAGGAAGAAGAGGTATTTCGAAACACCGAGGATTCTGCAACTGCAAATGCTGCCGCGGATCGGGATAAACCTCCGACCATGTTAGGCATAGAGGAAAGTACGTATCCTATGCTGTGACCTACCGTAGTCTTACTTTTTCTGTTAGGCAATAAACACTTACATAATGATAGGCATTCTCACTGATGTTTTTTCTCCGTAAAGAAAGCTAGGAGCTTTATGCTTAGTGACATACACAATATTACGCGGTCTTTGTTTTTTTTGTATTCTAAGAACACTTCTACACCTTGTAGAGACGGATCATAATAGCTTATTCATCTCCAAGATTATCTCGAGGTCTACCAGACGTGCCGTTGTGTCCTGTAGGTGAAAGCTGTTTACTGCTCCCCCGTGCGATCACCGATTTCATGACCAACACCGTATACGACGATTCTTTGATAAAGTGACTGAAAACTGTGTACGAGCGAACATGTGCTGCTAGCGGTCAAACGTTCTTCTTTTTGCGGGGGGGTTGGGGGCATACCTATTCAAAAGCAAATGTATTCTGTGTTATTACCCGAGATAACTGGGTTATGCATTTACTCTCGTGCTCAAAGCGATCTGAAGACGTGCTTCTCCCGACTTCAAATGAAACACCATTCCGACTTGATTTACTCCATTCACTGCTGTTTTTCGTCCATGTTCCTAATTCCATTGACCTTTTTCTTTCAGCGGAAGAAGATCCCAATTCATCGGGGAAAGTGCTCATGGAGACATTCTTGACACAGCTTCCGAACTGCGTTAATCGTGATTTGATTGATCGAGTATGTTTTTTTTCTAACTACTCATTCGTATTGTTTTGTATCGTAGAGTTCAGTCTCCATGATTACGAAATAGCGTTGTTTGCAAACAGCAGCTTCACTGCCACCATTTACAGCTATATTTATAGATTCATTTGCCGTGAACGGTCATCGCATTCGGCTCGAACCGGTGTACAGTTGGTTCCCCCACTTGTAATCAGCTGGTCGCACCTGCCACGCGGTGTACTGAAAGCGCGACACATTCAAACCATGCAAACAGTTATCCACCAATTGCGACCACACACCGCACCCATACGCACTGGTCCACTAAGCCACCGTGAATCAGTTGTCTGCAGACGTGGTTCGTCAGTAGTACACAGTCGTGGCGCGACTGTAATTGATGGGCGCAACTGCTTGGAGTACATCAAACTTGAACTCGCGCTGAACAAGCGATGCATTGACCACCCCGCCCAGTCACTAAGTATGGAACGCACCGTAGCGTTCGGGGAGCTACAAAAGTGATCAACGGATGTTTTTTTAGAGGAACAGTTATTTTGTGGATTCAGTTTCGCATACTCGCCTTTCCTCTGTGAAGGCGTGTTGCTGAGTTGCTCCTTTGAGAGTTGGTTTTCGGTTCATTCCGTTTCCTCATCCCGGATGCTATTTTTTAAATGATATGCATTTTTTCGCTGCGCTCCTTATCTTATCCTATTTTCAATCAACATCATAAAGTCATAACCGGAGTGCATTGTATTGTGTGGTGGTGGCCCGGTGGTAATGTCACCAAATTATCACTGAGGGACGTGTGTTCGAATCCCACCACTACCACCTAAACTTACCCATTGTGTGTTGTATGGCAACACTTTGATTGTCCGCTTCCCTCTTCCCGAAAGTTATATCATTGTGTGATCAATAAAAGGAAGAAAAAAATTACTCCATGTGTTCTTAGGCCTATTAGTTTTATGTTGTCCGCACTCTGTTCACTTCGCTCAGTCGCCATCTTATTTGATACAGTTGAACTACATCGACACGAATTGAGAACAAACTAACGCATTTTCCATAAAGAGCTTTTGGATTTTCAAATTCTGTTGATTCGGAACTATCAATCACTTCCAGGAGATTTGTCAGTCCATAAGTTCGATATTCAACGAAGCTATCTAGAATTGATTGTTTATTATTTGCTGTCGGTTATTGAACAGATTAAAGCTCCTAGAAGGTTCTTGAGGTAAAAGCATTGTTGTTTTATAGAGTTTACTGTTCCGACGGATTTTCTCGCTGTGCTCAAGGGAGAGAATGTATCACCTGAATGTCGACCTCGAATTTTGGTTCTAACTGTAAAGTTGTACTGCTACTTTCTTTAATGCGTAACGCATAACGACAATTGTGACACGACCCGTAATTGTGTTTGCTCTCCTCCCACCATTTTCACGTGACAGGCAGCTGTAGATTTCTGTTTAAATTTGAACAAGCGTTCCAATCGTCGTCGCCTCGCTCGCGCATTGCTCATGGTTCCCCGAACGCGATACGATTTGCTCCCATTCTATGCGCGTCTCGTTGCCGCACTGGCTCCCGTCATGCCCGATCTTGTGCAAGATGTGAACACCATGCTCACGGGCGAGTTCCGTTGGCGTGTATCAAAACGTGATCAGTTGAACTTGGAATCCAAGCTGAAAGTTGTCCGCTTCATTGGTGAGCACACGATAGGGAGAAAGTGTTTTTCTATTGCGTTATAGGAGTAGCAATGTCCAGCCCAGTAATAAAGACGGAGTGGCGGTGATAGTTTGATTTGTTTTCACTCACGCTTTGGTCTCCCAGCACACTGTCATATCCTTCTTTATAAAGCCTTGTATTTTTCGCCGTTGCATGTCTCAGGTCTTCATTATTATAGTATTTACTATGCGTAAGCTTATTACAATTTATCATGTATTACTATATTTCATAAAGCCTAGTACGGTAATCATCATCATCATTATTGTACAGCGTAATACAGTGAAGCGAACTTCACTGATCGCTGCCAAACTCATAATGCATACAAGATAAGTGAGAATGTGTAAGGAGGACAGGGATTGGACCTATTCTTGGGGACGGGAAAAGAAAGTAAACCTCTATGGCCAACACAGTAAACAGTCCAACTGTGCATACGTACTATTTCAAGCATTCTGATCTGAAATGAAGTGACAGCATGATCGCCATTGCTGTAGGTTCGCAGCCATGATCTTCAGTGTCTCCAACCATGCGGTTTCGGAGTCCTTTGGACCTCATCCCGGAAGACGAGAGACACCTACTCTACCTAATCACGCTGTTCAAATCTTCCTGCCTCGTCTCCATGTCATCTGCTGGCCTCCACGTGGATTTCTTCAGCCTGTAACAGCCATTGCGAATAAGGCGCGCTGCGGTAGGCGACCGTCGGACATACGCAAAACGTCCTAACCAATGAAGCCTATTGAGCTGGATTCGATGCGATAGCCAGTTCTTGTTTGAGGTATTCCCAAACACCCGACGACTTACTTCTAAGTTACTAACCCGCTCAATCCATCCCACGTGGGCCAGACTACGTAGGCATCGATTGTCGAACACTGCTTAACGACGGGTGTCTTCTACCCGCGAATTCAAGGTCTCAACCGTAAAGCAGAACTGACCGTACAATGGCGCAGTTTACGCGACTTTTCAACTTTAGTGACACGTCACGTCGCCGCCACAGGTGTTTTAGTTCTGCGTATGCTGCTCGAGCCTCGAAATGCGGGCGGTTATCTCCTTCGATGCGCTACCTTTGTTAGTCACGCAGCTGCCTAATTCCGGGAAGCAGTTAACTTCAGTTAATTCCTGACCGTCTAGTTTCAAAGCAGACCTCGGTGACACCCAGTCTTGCAGTATCACTTTTCGCTTTGAAGGTGTAAAGCACCTGCCGAATGGAGCGACAGAACTTGCTAATCTGTCAAGTGCTCATCGGGCATCTTTCATACATTCGAACAGGCAAACGATATCTTCAGCGTACTCCAAATCGCCCATTCAATACCAACATTTTGGAGACCACTTAGTGTGTTCTCCAGTATTTCGTCTATGACGAAATTGAACAGGAATGGCGAAAGAGGGCATCCTTGACGTACACCACTGTTAGTTACGAACGACCTACTCAGCTCGCCGTAGACCATTACGCCACCAGAGGTATGCGAGTAGAGTGAACCCAGTATGTTCACGTACTTCTGCGGCATTCCTTTGCGAAAAAGTGAACCCATAAGGGATTCACGATCAACTGAGTCGAAGGCCTCTTTTAGGTCAAGGAACACGACAAACGTTGGCCGATGGTGCGTATGGCGTAGCTCGAAGACTTGAAGCAGAGTGAAGATTTGATCGATACAACCGCGATCTGGTCGAAATCCTGCTTGTTGTTCGCGGATGTTTGGCTCCCTAAACGGTATCAGACGTCGCACTATGATGGAGGCTAGTAACTTGGTGACGATTGGGATCAAGATTATTCCACAGTGGTTTGCGCAGTCATTGTGAGATCCCTTCTTAAAAATTGGAGCGATCAGTGATTCGCTCCAGGATGATGAAATGCGCTCGTTTAACCAGGTGTTACGCATTAGATCACTAATGGAGTCTACAAGATCATCTCCCCCCATCTTGAAAAGAGTGGAAGGAAGCCCGTCTGGCCGTGCTGCTTTTCCTTTATTCAGGGCTTGGATGCAAGAACGAAATTCTGCAGTAGGAGGTTCAGATGGCACTTCCCATGGAGCGTCAGCTACATTGGAGATAGCCTGGTTAGCGCCTGGCCAGCTGAACTGTTCGTTGAATTACTCCACCCACCGGTCAAGCCGTGGTTCCCTATTTTGAATAGCCTGTCCACTTTTGTCGCAGACTGTTTCAGTAACTGTGGTTCTCCGACTTCCCGTAGTGCGTATCAGTTGGAATAGTCTCTGACTATTCCCTGATGCAGCTGCGACTTCCATTTCACTAGCTATCGCTGCCCACCAGTTCTCACGTTCTTTCTTTAGGCTCCTCGTGAGATGACGTTGTAGACGCCACCCAACCCTGCTTTGATCCCGGGTGGTTGGGATTTGCCGCTTTTCCTCCATGAGTGCTACTGAATCGTCAGATATCCCATGCCTCGGTCAGGCTACTGCTTCAGATCCACAAGCAACGTTCGCTGCGGAGTACATTGCTCGGCTAATCTGATCCCATTGTTCATTTACACTACCACCCGGCAGTGCGTTTAGCTCTTGCCCTAGTTCTGATTCAAAATGGGCACGAACGGCTGGGTCAGATAAGCGATGAGCTGCCAATCGATTTTGGTGAAATCTGCGACCAGTGAGTTGGAGAGTGAACTGCATCAAAACTAACGCATGTGGTCCAATAGGACCTACAGTTTTGTACTGAGCCACGCACACGGTAGCATATTCCTATGTGGTCGACCTGAGTTAGCCTGCCAGTTGAATTTGAGCGCCACGTTGCTGTCCGTTGAGAGCTGTGTCGGAAATTGATACTAGATGGGAATAAATGATGATCTGCGCAGAACTGAAGAAGTCGATCGCGATTATCTGTTCGCTGGCAGGGCAGAGCACAATGACCGCCTAGACAAGCTTCGGATGCGCTCAGTTATCCGACTTGAACGTTAAAATCACCTGAGAGAACAACTATATCGGAGCTTTGACTCAACCGAATGAGTTCGGTGAGTTTATCATAGAAGTCGTCCTTTTGTGCGTCAGAACTGAAATGATGAACAGACACCTTTTGGTGTTGCTTCCCTTTCGAACGCTGATAGACCCTTGGAGCCGCATCGTACATAAACGACTATAAACGGGGATCCAATCGAGTAGTGCGGCTTCGGTTGTATTATTGATTACAATGCTTACACCGCGCTGATCTACTCTAACTGACGTGCGGAAGAAGAACCTCGAAGACAACCTCGGTGCACTTAAGTGGCATGTAGTACTAGGATCCTGAATTCGAGTCTCCAACGCACAGCAGACATCCATTTCCAAAAAGTCCATTGTACGTGCCAGACATGCTTGTTGATCTACCTGCATCAGAGTCCCCACGTTGAAGGCCCCAGGTTCAGTGGCTGACGAGGTTTCAGGATATGCAATCTATTTCGTGGTAAACTACTTACCGAGCTACTTGGCAACGAACTTTGGCGAGTGACGAACAAGCTGTCTGAGAGAATGTTACGGGTTGGAAGAAAGGGTAAAAGGAGAGGGTTGGGTACGGAAGACAAAGAGTTAATCAAAGGTTGGGATATCTGAGCAGTAGCCCACTTATCACTACCCACTCCGCTCGGTGCAATGGGTAACGCGGTCCTGATTATCCTGCGCGACGACCGATGCAGTATGGAATTATTTTTTGTTTTTGTATGCGGTTTCCATGTAAGACGGTGTCGTTTCTTGTGAGAGAATTTGCTGCTTTAGACCCTGTAGTCCGCAGTCCGAACACTGCCCCCAACACCCAACTTTGGTAGTAGGCAGCTTTGCTGCCGTCTGGTTCAATGTCACGCCGAGCCTAACGGGTTCATCACTCCAAGTCCCGGGGTCTAGGGTACCGGTTTCCATCACGGAACAGCAAGTCTTTGCTACCCAGCCTGCGTAATAAAAACCCTGAATTTTTCATTTTCACGTCTGCGGTGCTTCAAACAGTTCAATCTTCCCTGTACTAATCAAATCAAAACCGCCCCAGAAAAATGCGTGCTTAATGATTGTTGTCATCGAGTCACGCGTCCATAGGTGGAATCAAAAGTCCAAGGTGCTCAGTACACCCCAATGTCCAATCGAGCCGATGACCAACACCACAATCAAAAAGATGTGTAGTTTGTTCACCCCTTCATGGTCGGCTTCCAATCAAACTTTCCAGCAAACCATTCCATGTCAACTGCCGATGGTTCATCTCTCCGGCTACGGCCCCCGAATATTGGCGTTTCCTCTTATCACTTTGGCGGGTAAGCACCTCCGGCGTGGGATGGCAGTAACTAGGGCTTATTTAGCAGAGACCATTTGAGACTCATAGTCATGTAGCGAAATTTCATGGGTTGTAAGGTATGGGTAATCAACCAGAAGCCAAGATACTCATCTCACTCCCATCATTCTTGTGCTTTTTGAAGCACAAACCGAAACTGAAACACGTGTTTCGTCCTCTGGTTTTAGTCTAATGGATGAAATTCCAGTTCGACGAGAACTGACCAAAACAGTCCGACTGAACAGCGAAGTTGATGTGTTTCCTGGGTGTATGCTTAAAATCTTCGAATTTGATGACTCTACCCCAATGTACCTCAAGGAGATATACTTTTCCAACTACTACACCGGGCGTGTATCCGCGAAGCTTTGCATCGAAGACGTGGTAAGTTTAGCACTTTTGACATCTGTCATCCTTTTTATTTACAGGGTTCGTACATGCCGATTTGGATTGACCTTTTTCGAATTCAACTGATGCCAGACTATCATTACAGCGCTGGTTCCTGCGCGAACGTCAAGGTAACCTTCCCGTCCGGTTTCAAAACTGTTGAGTCGCCTCAGCGACTACAGCGTGCTGTATTCATGCTCCAGCAGTCATCTCCGATTTGGAAAGAGTACTCTATAAATGCTGTA